TGTAATTTACACTAAACTACAGTTATCACAAATCATTTGAGAATAAAACAAGCATAAATATGAGACTGAAAATATATGAAAACTATAAAGTAAGGTACATTTAACTCTGATAGGCTAAATTATTAATTTTGTTGCTAACACGATAAAAGCAAATCCCTTAGGGAAGGTACAGAAGCATAATCTTGGGACAGTTGTCCCATTATTAATACATAATTTCACTTACAGCTTTTAATCATTTTAATAATGAATAAGTGATCCACTCCAGCATAATAAATTAAAGCTCAATAAACTCATCCCAAATAAATCAATATAATGTACTGTAATAGCAAGAGTGTATGTGAGGTCTAGGTTCGCTTTGATACCATGGGTCTCTGTTCCAAATGCCTTCTGTCCAGGCTCTGTGGTGGTTCTATTCTCAGGATGGTCTTGTAAAATGGGATGTTTTCATATACTGGGATTTGATCCTCTCTCTGAAGGTCTGTGTGTGTTACACATGCCTGTGTGTAATTTTCAAGGCACATAGTCTTGTTCAAAGTTGTGTACAGTGGGGAAAAAAAGTATTTAGTCAGCCACCAATTGTGCAAGTTCTCCCACTTAAAAAGATGAGAGAGGCCTGTAATTTTCATCATAGGTACACGTCAACTATGACAGACAAAATGAGAAGAAAAAATCCAGAAAATCACATTGTAGGATTTTTTATGAATTTATTTGCAAATGATGGTGGAAAATAAGTATTTGGTCAATAACAAAAGTTTCTCAATACTTTGTTATATACCCTTTGTTGGCAATGACACAGGTCAAATGTTTTCTGTAAGTATTCACAAGGTTTTCACACACTGTTGCTGGTATTTTGGCCCATTCCTCCATGCAGATCTCCTCTAGAGCAGTGATGTTTTGGGGCTGTCGCTGGGCAACACGGACTTTCAACTCCCTCCAAAGATTTTCTATGGGGTTGAGATCTGGAGACTGGCTAGGCCACTCCAGGACCTTGAAATGCTTCTTACGAAGCCACTCCTTCGTTGCCCGGGCGGTGTGTTTGGGATCATTGTCATGCTGAAAGACCCAGCCACGTTTCATCTTCAATGCCCTTGCTGATGGAAGGAGGTTTTCACTCAAAATCTCACGAAACATGGGCCCATTCATTCTTTCCTTTACACGGATCAGTCGTCCTGGTCCCTTTGCAGAAAAACAGCCCCAAAGCATGATGTTTCCATCCCCATGCTTCACAGTAGGTATGGTGTTCTTTGGATGCAACTCAGCATTCTTTGTCCTCCAAACACGACGAGTTGAGTTTTTACCAAAAAGTTCTATTTTGGTTTCATCTGACCATATGACATTCTCCCAATCCTCTTCTGGATCATCCAAATGCACTCTAGCAAACTTCAGACGGGCCTGGACATGTACTGGCTTAAGCAGGATTTGAGTCCCTGGCGGCGTAGTGTGTTACTGATGGTAGGCTTTGTTACTTTGGTCCCAGCTCTCTGCAGGTCATTCACTAGGTCCCCCCGTGTGGTTCTGGGATTTTTGCTCACCGTTCTTGTGATTATTTTGACCCCACGGGGTGAGATCTTGCGTGGAGCCCCAGATTGAGGGAGATTATCAGTGGTCTTGTATGTCTTCCATTTCCTAATAATTGCTCCCACAGTTGATTTCTTCAAACCAAGCTGCTTACCTATTGCAGATTCAGTCTTCCCAGCCTGGTGCAGGTCTACAATTGTGTTTCTGGTGTCCTTTGACAGCTCTTTGGTCTTGGCCATAGTGGAGTTTGGAGTGTGACTGTTTGAGGTTGTGGACAGGTGTCTTTTATACTGATAACAAGTTCAAACAGGCGCCATTAATACAGGTAACGAGTGGAGGACAGAGGAGAAGTTACAGGTCTGTGAGAGCCAGAAATCTTGCTTGTTTGTAGGTGACCAAATACTTATTTTCCACCATAATTTGTAAATAAATTCATTAAAAATCCTACAATGTGATTTTCTGGATTTATTTTTCTCAATTTGTCTGTCATAGTTGACGTGTACCTATGATGAAAATTACAGGCCTCTCATCTTTTTAAGTGGGAGAACTTGCACAATTGGTGGCTGACTAAATACTTTTCTTGGTCTTGATCAGAGCTGTGTACGTGTCACTGTTAGGGTCAGGATGGACATGGACACTGCGTGTGTCTGCTATGGAATTATCTCTTCCTGTGAATCTCCTCTTCAGGATGCAGTAGGTGAGGACAAGCGATCCAGCAGCCAGAATGGCTCCCACCCCTACCCCAACAACAGGAGCCCAAATAAAAGCAACAGGAATATGAATAGGAATGAGACTTGAATTCTCTCCCCCTAAAATGTTCCGTGCCTCACAGTAGTATTCTCCACTGTCTACAGAGCTGATTTTAGTGATGGTATGACTCTGCCCTGAAGCTTTTGGTGAAGTTGTGTTTCTCTTCAACCAGGTGTAATTCTGCACTGTTGGGTTGACATCACTGTTGCATGTCAGAGTCACTGAACTGCCCTCCACTATTTTACCAGAGGGACTGACTGACACTGAGGTGCTCTTTGGTTTGTATCTGACAGTGAGATTCACTTCTGGAGAGTGGAGATCCTCATGGCCTTCTACAGCACAGGAGTAGCCACCTCCATCCCCATTGCTGACTGGGTTTAGGTACAGGCTGTTGGAGTAGGAATAGTTGTTTGTTATAGGCCGTCCATTCTTATACCAAATAAAGGCTGTGTTTGGACCCAGTGTACATTTGGTTCTACATCTCAGTATGGCACTCTCCCCCTCTGACACAGATGTAGTATCCAACTCCAATAGGACATCTGTGACAGTGAGCAAGACATGAGATCCAGCAAACTTCCCTCCTGAAATGGTTCTGAGCCTGAACCTGTACTCAGCTGAGTCATTCTTTCTCAAGCCTGTGATTTTCAGGGTACAGTCATTCTCCTTATTTCCAGGAATACGGTACTCCACACGACCCACATACTTTGGGTCCTGGCTCAGATCTTCAGGCTCCCCTCTAGGCCCCCATTTTTTAGACCAGAATGCTTTATTGATCCGGGGGTCGTTGGGATATGTGTAAGTGCAGGAAATGTCCACTGATGTCCCCTTTAAGGCACACATATATCTATTGACGGTAGTGACACTGACAGTTGTGACCATGAACACACACTGCAGGAGAGTGGAGATTCTCATGGCCTTTTACAGCACAGGAGTTGCTGCCTGCATAATTACTGCTGACTAAGTATCGGTACCAGGGAAAGGTGTCTTCTTGTAGATATTGTCCGTTCATGTACCACATGTAGGTGGGGTTGTCACTCAGAGGGCAGGTGGTGCTACAGGTCAGTGTCAGTTTCTGACTCCCTGTCACCTTCACCTGCAAGTCTGTGACGGAAAGAGCTGTTCCCGGTAAGCTTTAACCCAACCCTGAAGTCTGTTTATGAAATGAGAAGGGATACTCGGCTGAGTCTTCCTCTCTCAGGTCTTTGATTCTCAGGGTGGAGTGACCACTTTCTGTTCCAGGGTACTTCACACGACCTGAATACCCTGGGTCTTCTGTTAGGTCCTCAGGTATCGACTTATCTCTCCACCTATCACTTTGTTTGGCACTAAACCAGAATGTTGATGTGACTAAATATCCACTGGGATATGTGTAAAAGCAGGTTAGGTCCACTGATGAACCTTTCAAGATACAGATTTGCTTCCGAGTGTAAGACACACTCCATCCATTGTAGGCCAGTATCACTGCAACACAATGAGACATCATAAGATATTGTGTTTATTTTTGTAAAAAAATTTGTAGATAACCTTGAAATGAGCATGGTCTAATTGACTCAACAACCAAAAACACAAGTTTAGCTTTCTTAGTGAACCAGAAAATCCATCGTTATTTCTGGTTGTTTATCAAAATTAGCTGGCTTACTCATTGAACCTGCTTTGTAGTATACCCCTATGCACATACTGTAAGCACAACAACATCCTAATTCTTCCAATGTGATGTCGACACTACTTTTTCTGTGTGCGTGTGGTTGGAAACAACAGATCAACATTACTCAGAGAAGAGTAAGGACAATGTAAGTGACACTGGGCACACTAGAAGAACATTTAGAAGCATCTTATTCTGATTGTTTTATGATATTTGTCTGTAGGTCACACAACAATACTGATAATAAGGAGAAATATAGTGCTATTATTTACCATACCTCCCACAGAGAAGAGAAAAGCCATGAACATACTTCCTTCTTTTGTTACAGCCATGTTTCACATCCTGCAATCACAGAAATGAAATCAAAATAGACAATAAAACACACTTTATAAGTGTTGAATAACCTGACACCTAAATTGAGGGGAGAACCATCATTATGGTATTCTTTTTTAATACAGAAATCAATAAAACTAAATATGTGAAACCACAGTCCATATATTTATTTATACTGTAGGCTAATGTTCCAGCAACACAAATTCACTCATTTTAAAAAGTACAGAGTAGTATTCCTATGCCCAGAAGGATGACTAGAAACAAATCATTTAGAAAATATATATCAGAAAGTATACTGTACTTACAGCGGGGGGAGTGACGTCCAGTCAATAAGCTAGTGAGCTGAGGTTAACGGGGCTACAGGTAATGCAGAGTTTATTTCCTGCCTATTTATGCAATTTCCTGCATGGCGACTTGTAATATGTCACTAAATGGCTTAACACTGTGTGTGCATCTGCATATGGCTGTTTATTCATATGTGGATGCAAAGTCTAAAAATACCCTTGTTGAAATCCCCCAAAATGTACACTTTCACCTTACCAGTTTGATTTTGTTGTAGAACTTCTCAGCTTCTCAGCAATCTTCTGCCACACGCAATTGCTAGAATTATAATACAACTTTCAAACTACACTCTTTAATGAGAAACACCAGGCTAGTTCCCATCAAGTCAATTGTGAGATTTGTGACAATTGTGAGATAAGATGTGTATTGACTGTTTAATTAATCCATGTTATTCATTTATTTATCTGAATCAAGATGCATATCAGGTAGATGGGAAATCCTGTGCTGGAACAGTCTGGAACAACTGCCAGCTGCAGCCTGGCAACCTTGGTCTGTGCTGAGGGCTGAGCCACTACTGAGTGTGCCCAGTGGGAGTCAGACCCAGTGGGAGTCAGACCCAGTGGGAGTCAGACCCAGTGGAAGTCAGACCCAGTGGAAGTCAGACCCAGTGGAAGTCAGACCCAGTGGGAGTCAGACCCAGTGGGAGTCAGACCCAGTGGGAGTCAGACCCAGTGGGAATCAGACCCAGTGGGAGTCAGACCCAGTGGGAGTCAGACCCAGTGGGAGTCAGACCCAGTGGGAGTCAGACCCCCCGGTAGGGTAAACAGGATCCACAGGCTCAGGGGCTTTAAGACAGTGGCACAGTGGGATGTCCTCATACTTTGTATCTGCTCTGTCATTTGTCATCTCCCGTCTGGATTACTGCAACTCGCTGTTGGCTGGGCTCCCTGCCTGTGCCATTAAACCCCTATAACTCATCCAGAACGCTGCAGCCCGTCTGGTGTTCAACCTTCCCAAGTTCTCTCATGTCACCCCGCTCCTCCGCACACTCCACTGGCTTCCAGTTGAAGCTCGCATCTGCTACAAGACCATGGTGCTTGCCTACGGAGCTGTGAGGGGAACGGCACCTCCTTACCTTCAGGCTTTGATCAGTCCCTACACCCAAACGAGAGCATTGCGTTCTTCCACCTCTGGCCTGCTGGTCCCCCTACCTCTGCGGAAGCACAGTTCGCTGCTCTGGCACCCAATTGTGGAACAAGCTCCCTCACGACGCCAGGACAGCGGAGTCACTGACCACCTTCCGGAGACACTTGAAACCCTACCTCTTTAAGGAATACCTGGGATAGTGTGTGTGCACACACACACACACACACACACACACACACACACACACTCTTTCAGCATAGATTTCCCTGCTGTGCATTCTAGGAGTAGCCTACAGTATGTTACAATATTAGTTCAGAGCAGATACACTTGTGCTGTACAAACTGGGTTTGTGTGAAAGTCCTCTGTATAAAGTACAGGACATTCTGTCACATTCCCAAAGGTTGCTTGTCCTATGACAGTCAACAGCTGACTGATGTTGTTGTCACTGATGTTCACTTGTGTCCTGACTATCAACCAGACTACTCCACTGCTCCTGGTAAGTAAACCCCCATTTACATCACACCAGGTCTATCACAACAGATTTAACTCCATATGTGGAATAATGTGTCAGTCTTGATGTGTGTAAAAGGTACTTCATTGTTTTCAACAGAAAATCATGGTTGATTTGAAATGTATTGTTTTGATGCCGTGTTTCCTCAACTGTACCAGTTCCCTGCCGGCCAAGCAAGTCCCATGTGTTCTTGGTTTTGGTATGCTTGAAATGTTGTGGCTGAAAGAGCATTGAGCAAACTTTAGAGCCTCTAGAATCACATGATTCATAAGATCCACCATAAGACCTCTCTATCACCTCAGCATCATAGAAGATTAATTTAGCATTCATCCAAAAAGGCAGAAGAGTTCACGAAGTCAAATGAATTGTTCCCATTTCCTGTGCCATGTCTCATAAACTCTGCTTCAAAGGTCAAGTTGACCATCATGAGAGGATGTCTTTGTCAATAGGCAGCAGTAAACTAGCCTGGAGCTCAATCAGCAAGGCACAACATTGTACAACGTACAGATAGACATATGTTATGTAGAACAACATGCCTCTCTGACATGTAGAATAAAATAACATGTACAGCTCTATTCGTTACATTTCTGTCTGCAATGTCCGATAACGTTTGCCTACTGAATGTGGCCCTGTTCCTCTCTAACTGTTTTCATGGCCCATTGATTGATAAGATGAAAATCAGCCTTTAAATCAAATCAAAGTTGGTCGCGTACACAGTTTGGCAGGTGTTATAACTGGTGCAGCAAAATGCTTATGTTACTAGATCCTAACAATGCAGTAAAATGTCAAACAATTAAAATGTAAGGACAAGAAATCAAGAACGGTGGGACGAATCTGATGAACAACCCAAATAGCACTGGAGCAGTAATCAAATGCTTTCATCTCTTTTATTCTGTTTTTTTAGATCTATTTACGTTTTTCTATTTATGTCTATTCCCCAAGTCACTCCTCTCAGGTCTGCGGTTCCTTTAAAAGTTTGGACCTCTGAGGATTCTCAGCATTGTCCAGGGTGGTTTATGGATGTCTTGGCCCTCCTCTTTGGTTGATTTTATGGTCTTGTTTCGTCACAGACAGCGAGGAGCCACTGCTTACATTATACTGATCCTGCCCTAGATTTAAGACACTGACAGAATAGTTGGAAACTATCAGATTACAATACCATGGATCAGTTTCAATGCGGGTTCCATTGTTTAAAAAAAAAAGTCTGGCTGTGTTGGTCTCCCACTACAAATGACGGTTCACCAGAGATAGTTGTTGTCAAGCTCTGAGGGGGAGTCACCCTGAGCACTGTTGTCTGAGGCAGTATGCAAGTCTAGCGTGTTACTCTGTCTTCCTCACTATGACTCTAGCTGAGCTCTGTTCTTTACAGACGTCTGCAGTCTGGTTAACAAGGAACCCTACCCACATAGTTACCCCCCCCCCCCCCCCCCCCCACCATATAAACGCCCTTGTCTTAGCCAGCAAGACCCCAGTCAGGATGGGAGGTTCACGGGTGAAGACAACTGGGGTTCTACTCTGTCTGTGTTACTGTCTCAACACTGGCATTTCAGATGATCTCTCTGGTAAGTTATTAAATGTATACCAGTAATAGGTTAGCAGGGTACACAGATTCATAGATACATATATTGAATTTTGGAAATTTTACTTGAATGTCCAATATATATATATATAAAAAAGTATGTGGACACCCCTTCAAATTAGTGGATTCGGCTATTTCAGACATACCCGTTGCTGACAGGTGTATAAAATCGAGCACACCGCCATGCAATCTCCATAGACAAACATTGGCAGTACACTGGCCTTACTGAAGAGCTCAGTGACTTTTAACGTGGCACCGTCATAGGAACTGTTCGTCGGGAGCTTCATGAAATGGGTTTCCATGGCCGAGCAGCTGCACACAAGCCTAAGATCACCATGTCCAATGCCAAGCATCGGCTGGAGTAGTGCAAAGGTCGCCACCATTGGACTCTGGAGTGATAAATCATGCTTCACAATCTGGCAGTCCGACAGACGAATCTGGGTTTGGCAGATGCCAGGAGAATGCTACCTGCCCCAATGCATAGTGCCAACTGTAAAGTTTGGTGGAGGAGGAATAATGGTCTGGAGCTGTTTTTCATGGTTTGGGCTAGGCCCCTTAGTTCCAGTGAAGGGAAATCTTAACGCTACAGCATGCAATGACATTCTAGACAATTCTGTGCTTCCAACTTTGTGGCAACAGTTTGGGGAAGGCCCTTTCCTCTTTCAGCATGACAATGCCCCTGTGCACAAAGCGAGATCCATACAGAAATGGTTTGTCGAGATCGGTGTGGAAGAACTTGACTGGCCTGCACAGAGCCCTGACCTCAACCACATCGAACACCTTTCGGATGAATTGGAATGCCGACTGCGAGCCAGGCCTAATCGCCCAACATAAGTGCCTGACCTCACTAATGATCTTGTGGCTGAATGTAAGCAAGTCCTGCAGCAATGTTCCAACATCTAGTGGAAAGCCATCCCATAAGAGTGGAGGGTGTTATAGCAGCAAAGGAAGGACCAACTCCATATTAATGGCCATGATTTTGGAATGAGATGCTCAACGAGCAGGTGTCCACATACTTTTGGTCATGTAGTGTATTTTGTTGAAAAAGCCCTAGCTTTTTTTCCACCTACAGGTTCAAAGTGCGGTCTTCCACAGATCAGAAACCTCCTTGACGGCTCTTTGAGAATCGTTGGAGGGTTGGAGGCAAGATATGGATCCCACCCCTGGTTGGCAAGTGATTTCCTTTTACTGTACATGTAACACCCCCTTTTGAGAAATATGGCTATGAGGGTAACACAAATGCAGGCTTTATTTCAAGCTTTATTGAAGAGATAGCACTGTATGAAAGATGGGGTAGGGTGAATCAGAGGGCAATGGGCCAGATTCGAACCCATGCCGACTCTGGCATACATGTGTGCCGTGGTCAGGGGCTGTAACCGCTGGACCACACAGGCCACACAAATACAGGCTTACAGACATCACAATGACATGGAATTTGGGATGATTTGAAGGTTTCACTGAGGTTCAGGGGTTCTCATTTCTGTGGAGGGGCTATCCTGACTGAGCGCTGGATCCTGACTGCTGCCCACTGCTTCTCCATCGTCTCTACGTAAGTTCCATCCCATCTCAAGTCCAGGTAGTCCCTCCCCCTTTCAGTCTGACTTCTTCCATTTGGTGCATAACGAACATGCCCCTAATGTCTCCGATGTTTGTTTTCTTCCATAGAAACTTTCTGAGGAACGTTAATGTTGTGATTGGGGAGTACGACCAGAGGGTTCCTGATGAAGAAGAGCAGACCTTCACTGTGGACACCATCAAAATCCACGACAAGTACCAGCATGCCTCTCCTATGAGCTATGACATAGCTCTGCTGGAAATCAATGGACATATCCGATTGGGCAGGTTTCTTCTCCGTTATAGTGACAGGCGGTTGAGTATGTTTTTACGAGCCGTAATGTTCTGTACTGTAGATATAACACACCCTTTATGGACATTATAATGTCTATGTCATTGACTGAGTTTGGCCAGACATTATTCTTGTCGGTGTAGGAAATATTTTCTAAAGTATCTGTGCTTACATCGTCTGCAGGCCCCAGTGTTCAGCCCATTTGCTTGCCTCTGCCCAGTGAGAACTTCCCACCCAGGACCAGCTGCCTTGTGAGTGGATGGGGACGGACCAAAGAGCGTAAGGCCCAGACTAACTTTACATTCATTTCAAACTAGCACATCAACATGGACACTTTACTCTTCACTTGAATTTTCTGGATGTTTTGATGATGGAGACCTAGCCTGATCCCAGATCTGTTTGTGCTGTCTTATGACCATGGTTTGACCATAAGGAATTGGCAAGACAGCACAAACAGATCTGGGATCAGGCTAATGGAAACCCACTGTATTCACATTCAGGTGGTCGTCTACCTGCCATTCTAAGAGAGGTGCAGCTGGAGTTGGTGGAACCGGCTAAGTGCAAGTATGTTCTCCAGACCCTGAGACCCACACAGCAGGCCCTCACTGTGCTGTGTGCTGGGCCTGAGAGAGGAGGAAAGGATGCCTGCCAGGTACACAAGATAGGCTACAACACAGTGCTGTCTGCATGTCAAAATCTATAACAGCGTTATTATGCTTCAGTGATCTCTGTCCAGTTTCTGGTGGAGGATCTCTGGACAAATGGGGTTATTTTCAATCATACAGTTCATCTGTCCATAGACTTCTCATCATTCCTTTGAGAGGTCCCTTATCAGATAATGTTGTGTTCTCCCATCTCCAGGGGGACTCTGGGGGTCCTCTGATCTGCCCCAGGGAGGATGGCCACTGGGCCGTGGTGGGGGTCACCTCCTGGGGGAAAGGTTGTGGCCGTAGCTGGATCAACAACAAGGCCAAGTCGCCGGCCAAGAGAGGATCCCCAGGGGTCTTCACTGACGTCAAGATGCTCCTGCCCTGGATCAAGATGAAACTCAGAGAAGGTTATCTAACACTTTTTGATCAGTGTAAGCCATGCAGGTCTAGATATGTATAACAGATGGTATAACAGATGGTCTAACAAATTATTTTGTTGTTGTGTTTTGTTCAACAGCAGATGCTAACCCAAAACAAAGGTCCAAGTCAAGTAAGTTGTATTTATTCTCATCAATTCCACAATGCTTATACTTGCATGTTTTGAAACTGCGCCCATGTCCTCTTTGTCATCTAAATAGCTACTACAATTTTTACACAATAGCTCATTTATGCAATTTGTACAATTAACCTTTACTGTATGATGTTATCGTACTCTTTGGAGAGTGTATTTGATGGTGTGTGTTTGTGTGTGTGTACTGTGCTGCAGGACTGTGCAGTGTGAGGGATGGGCCTGTGAGCGGTAGTGAGGGTCTCATCAGAAACCCAAGCCTCCCAGGCCATCTCTACAACAACAATGAGTGGGTGTAATCCAGTGACAGTGCACAGGCCCGTTGCACAGGGGGAGTGAGGGAGAGCTGTGCTGAACTGAATGTGCTCATTGAATGCCCTTGAATTAAGTATGCTTTTAGGACTATTTATTTTCAGGCCAATTTGCCCTCACCACTCCCCAGCTGGCACAGAACGTTCTAACAACCATATGTTTCTTAGAGCTTGGTGGAAGGGGGGTTGTCCTATGGTTATTTTCCTGACAACCTTCCCACAACTTGCTTGGCTTTGGAACATTCTCAGCACATTTTAAGGAATTTGACAAAAAAAACATAATTTTCTTGGAATTTAAAGGGGGGGCCTACTAAGCTATATGGAATTGTTTTAAGAAGGTCATACCAAGGATCATTTTGCTATTTGATTTTGTATTTTAAGAAGTATCAAAAAATAAAATACAAAATTATCTGATGAAAATGTATTTGGCCTTACTGCTATTAGCCCATACATTTACATTTACATTTACATTTACGTCATTTAGCAGACGCTCTTATCCAGAGCGACATACAAACGCATTGAATAACAGATTCACTACATGGAACAACAGATAGTCCACAAAAATAAATCTAAAGGAAGTGTCTATCCTATATCTGAGAGATATAAGAAAGATCAGGTTATTCTTTTTATTTTATTTTTTTACATGTATTTAACCCCTTATTTTTGGCACTAAACAGTCTCCATATATACAGTACTTTTCGACTGGGTCTTGTGAGGCCTGTGGGCATCTTTGCAAAACAACCGACATGTACTTGTTCTAGAGAGTCTCCTTTACATCAGAGTGGTCAGTGGGGGAAAAAAGTATTTAGTCAGCCACCAATTGTGCAAGTTCTCCCTCTTAAAAAGATGAAAGAGGCCTGTAATTTTCATCATAGGTACACGTCAACTATGACAGACAAAACGAGAGAAAAAAAATCCTGAAAATCACATTGTAGGATTTTTAATGAATTTATTTGCAAATTATGGTGGAAAATAAGTATTTGGTCACCTACAAACAAGCAAGATTTCTGGCTCTCACAGACCTGTAACTTCTTCTTTAAGAGGCTCCTCTGTCCTCCACTCGTTACCTGTATTAATGGCACCTGTTTGAACTTGTTATCAGTATAAAAGACACCTGTCCACAACCTCAAACAGTCACACTCCAAACTCCACTATGGCCAAGACCAAAGAGCTGTCAAAGGACACCAGAAACACAATTGTAGACCTGCACCAGGCTGGGAAGACTGAATCTGCAATAGGTAAGCAGCTTGGTTTGAAGAAATCAACTGTGGGAGCAATTATTAGGAAATGGAAGACATACAAGACCACTGATAATCTCCCTCAATCTGGGGCTCCACGCAAGATCTAACCCCGTGGGGTCAAAATGATCACAAGAACGGTGAGCAAAAATCCCAGAACCACACGGGGGGACCTAGTGAATGACCTGCAGAGAGCTGGGACCAAAGTAACAAAGCCTACCATCAGTAACACACTACGCCGCCAGAGACTCAAATCATGCAGTGCCAGACGTGTCCCCCTGCTTAAGCCAGTACATGTCCAGGCCCGTCTGAAGTTTGCTAGAGTGCATTTGGATGATCCAGAAGAGGATTGGGAGAATGTCATATGGTCAGATGAAACCAAAATATAACTTTTTGGTAAAAACTCAACTCGTCGTGTTTGGAGGACAAAGAATACTGAGTTGCATCCAAAGAACACCATACCTACTGTGAAGCATGGGGTGGAAACATCATGCTTTGGGGCTGTTTTTCTGCAAAGGGACCAGGACGACTGATCCGTGTAAAGGAAAGAATGAATGGGGCCATGTATCGTGAGATGTTGAGTGAAAACCTCCTTCCATCAGCAAGGGCATTGAAGATGAAACGTGGCTGGGTCTTTCAGCATGACAATGATCCCAACCACACCGCCCGGGCAACGAAGGAGTGGCTTCGTAAGAAGCATTTCAAGGTCCTGGAGTGGCCTAGTCAGTCTCCAGATCTCAACCCCATAGAAAATCTTTGGAGGGAGTTGAAAGTCTGTGTTGCCCAGCGACAGCCCCAAAACATCACTGCTCTAGAGGAGATCTGCATGGAGGAATGGGCCAAAATACCAGCAATAGTGTGTGAAAACCTTGTGAATACTTACAGAAAACGTTTGACCTGTGTCATTGCCAACAAAGGGTATATAACAAAGTATTGAGAAACTTTTGTTATTGACCAAATACTTATTTTCCACCATCATTTGCAAATAAATTCATAAAAAATCCTACAATGTGATTTTCTGTAAAAAAAAATATCTAATTTTGTCTGTCATAGTTGACGTGTACCTATGATGAAAATTACAGGCCTCTCTCATCTTTTTAAGTGGGAGAACTTGCACAATTGGTGGCTGACTAAATACTTTTTTCCCCACTGTAAGTGTTTAGCCCAAACTGTTCTGACGCTACAGACAGAAGTTGACAGATCGGCTGGACCGACTTCAGGGGGTCGTAGAGCAAAACGGGGGGTCGTAGAGAAAAATGAAGAAAACCATTGTGTTTCAATAGAGGGGTCATAATAGTTTGTAGGCCAAACTGTTCGGACGCTACAGACAATTTTGTGAGAAGACCAATTTTCGAAATGGCGTTTTTACATTGGATAAAAGTAAAGACTCCGAGCTTGAAAATGTTATACAATGCACTGCAGTTGAGGAGCAATGGGAGAGTAATTCTGATTTGAAAGTTGATAAACTTGTAACCCCACTTTTAAGAAAATGGCCCGTGAATATTTTGGTACACCTACTGGAGAGTTCTTCTTTGTCTACACCCATTCAGCATCGTTCCCACCCTCTTAAGCCTTAGCCCCACACATCTCTTTAAGGATTCACAGTGTAGTAAACAACCAAAGATTTCAAGACTGAAAATGGTGAAAGTAGTAGCAAAAAGTAGTAGTAAAAATACACTTTATCTAGTCCTTGGCCTATATCCTAATCTGACTTTGAAGCAGGTCATGTTGTTCTTAACATTACCATCTCTGGTAAACACACACTATATCAAATCAAATCTAAGTTTATTTGTCACATGCACAGGATACAGAAGGTGTAAACGGTACAGTGAAATAGTTACTTGCATAGTGGAGTCTTTTGTTTAGACATGTAGCTAGCTAGCTAAACAATGAACCATAATTCCAACTCTAATGCTGTGTTCAAAACAACTGGGAACTCGAAAATCTCTGACTTCAGTGTGTTCAAAACAACTGGAAACTCTGGAAAAAAAACAAGCAGTCTGACTGGGACAAATCGATTTGAACAGTCATCCAACTCGGAATTCCAACTCGGGAACTCAGGCCTTTTTCTAGAGCTCTGACTTTCTGACCTGAAGATCACTGACGTCATGCTTTGACCTCGTATTTTTCAGAGTTCCCAGTTGTTTTGAACGCGGCAATACTACCATGGATGAATCTGCAGGTAGCTAAAGCCTAACCAACTAGGTTCAATGTTAGCTAGCTAGCTAACATTAGGCTATAACTAGCAATGCAAACTGATTTCTGAGATACTCATAATATTAACACTGATCATACACATAACGTTAGCTAGCAAGCCAGCCAGCTAACAGTACACTTTAACTTGCAATGAAAACAACTTTCGGACTAGAAACGTATAATATCAAAAAATGTAGCTAGACTCTTACCCGTATACATGGATGAATGCTTCTTCTTTTCTGTCACGGATGCCATGGTTGCTCTTAGTTTGAAGATGTAATCCGGAGACAGGTGTTCTATACAACAGCCTTCTTTCTGTGTTCTCTTTTTGGACTTTCTCCGCATTTGGCAATCATCGCTCTGCTTCCACCGTGCATTCCACTGATTCTTCCGTGACAATGACACAGTTTCTTCCCCACCATTGCCATCAGAAGACTCTACAATGTCTGGTTTCCTTTGAAATGCGGTCTGTTTGAATAGACTAAAATGAACAGCTTTGTATGCGTAAATAAACATGCCATGCTAGCTCCATCCTGATGGCTCAGTGGACTAATTCCATGTATAGAGAACAATACATCACAGGATCGAATCTTACTGATGCCGTGTCACAATAGAAAATAAATGTGTTTGCCTGATTAATGCATAAACAAATGATTTTCCATGTGTCCTACCTGTGCTTGAAGTTCAAAAAAGTTTACCCAAAATAAGCTACCAGTGTTATTAAAAGTCGTATTAAAACAATCAGTGAAAGCTTTAAGGAAGTTATTCAAAAACTTCCAAATAACCTTTACATGTCGTTCTTAGTGTTTCACAACATTTAGAGAATGTTATTATTGTTAAATTACCTTCAAATTACCTATCATTTCCATTCTCCGAGCATTAATAAAACCTTCCAGGAGAACTTTCAAGGAACCAGAGTAAAACGTTATCAGAACCTCCCTGCAACCTAAAAATAAAAGTTCCCAGAACAGGTCGGAATGTTCGCTTCTGTTCTCAGAATGTTAAAAAAACATTCAGTTTTACCGGTCAGGAAACTTAGGGATTCTGTAACCAATCTGAAACTAAAAACACACGTTCCCACAACTCCCAAGGAAGCAAATGTGCTAGCTGGGTCACCACTTGATTTCCAAATGTATGTAAAAACTGTTCATTTAGTTAAAAAGCGGAATACTTGTGATAGCTTTTTCACCAATGAAATTGTTCTTGGAACGTCCAAAATGCATCCAATCAGATTTCCATATTGATTCTCTCTCTCTCTCTCTCTCTCTCTCTCTCTCTCTCTCTCTCGCTCTCTCTCTCTCTCTCTCTCTCTCTCTCTCTCGCTCTCTCTCATAGGATATGTTCCTGGTCCATCAACGTTCCTATAGGGAGGAGTATTCTGCTGGAATTCTTGGAATTCGACATGGAGAATGACACCCTCTGTCACAGTGACCAACTCACAGTATCTGTGGGTGCAGACTCAGGGAGGCCTATTGGTGAGAGATGAGGCTGCATTAACCCTATGTATGTCTCCCTAGTTTTCTCCTTCCCACCGGTTGATGAGGGGTTTGACTTTGTGATCTCCCATTGGCTGTCTCTTAGGGAGGTTCTGTGGCAGCGCCCCCCCGCCCCCAGTGCTCATCGACTACCACAGTGCTTCTCTCCACTTTGTGTCTGATGTCAGTGGAACAGGAAACGGATTTGTTGTTAGATTCCGAAGTGTCGAGGGAAATTCTGTGCCTGGTGAGTAACCGGTATGTCAACCCACGCCCCCTTGGCTCAGCAAGCCTAACCCCACCCAGCCCAGGGATAGAACAACGCTCAGACATTTTCACACCAGAACATAGGTTAAACCAGTTTAGGGAGTAATATGTCATCATTACTGTGTGTGCATTGCAATTATAAAGACAAAGTCTGACACTAATTGATGGATCCTCATAGCATTTGTTTTCTGCTAAATAATTATCATGTTCTCTGTCTGTACTGCAAATAGCTGTGTATTGCATTCGTGACTTGACTTGATGACAGAATACGTTGTTTGGCCTTCAGGGCAGAGCTGTGTGCTGGGTCTGATGTTTCATCACTCTGCCTGCTGACAGGATGTGTCTTGTTGCTCTGAGATCCTGACAAATGATATAGGCTCCCTACTCTCTCTCTTTCAATCCCAGTAGAGCTCTCCACCATGTGAGCCACACACCCTCCAACTGCTGCTAGTCAGACACACACATGCACACACTTTCACTCACTCACTCACTCACTCACTCACTCACTCACTCACTCACTCACTCACTCACTCACTCACTCACTCACTCACTCACTCACACACTCACTCACTCACTCGCATGCACACACACACACGCATGCACACACACACACACACGCATGCACACACACACACACACACTCATGCTCATGGGGCTGACTCTCCCATAGTTACATTTTGACATTTTAGTCATTAGCAGACGCTCTTATCCAGAGCGACTTACAATTAGTGAGTGCATAGATTTTCCATACTGGCCCCCCGTGGGAATCGAACCCACATAGCAGCCAGGAAGGCACACAGTGGTCCCATGACCTGGTAATGAGGTGCAGAGGGTCTGTGATGAAAACACACACTGTAACTACACCACCACGTGGGTCAGAGACAGGAGCCAAGATGGCTGGCGGACAGTGTTTGTGTTGCACTGAGGCACATGTATTGTCAAGGGTTAAATGTGCGACAGTGTGAGTATGGAGCCACAGAGAGGGCAGGGCTTGTGGCTGATAATGTGTCCTTTGTGTTTGTGAAGCGTCGGGATGTGGTACCGTGGCTCTGGTCCAGGATCAGAAGGCCGTACAGAGTCTCAACTACCCACAATCCTACAGCAACGACTCTGTCTGCCACTGGGTCATCTACGCCCCCAAGGGTCACATTGTCAAGGTGACACATGTTGACCTGTACCTCTTATGTTACTGTCCTCTCAATAAATCAAATGTTATTTGTCATATACACGTGTTTAGCAGTTGTTATTGCGGGTGTAACAAAATGCTTGTGTAGCAAGGCCGTTGTGACCGAAGGGATACCCCAAGGACTGATCTCTCCCAGTGGAATCATGAATACATTCATGGTGGCACTCTGCCAACGCAGTGATAGTTCAGTCTCTGGTGTGGATGTACTGGAAAGAATGTGATACTCACTTTGATTAAACAATAACAACAACAGACTGCAACACTGTAAATGCACTTGCCACATTCTTTGCTGAAATTAAGATTGTTTAAAATAGAGTTTACAGCTGAGTGCAAGGATGCTGTTTTCTTCATTTTTTAAATCTTATTTTATTCTCTTTTATCTTGCAGCTTGACTTTGATGACTTTGACCTGGAGCAGTCGGATGACTGTGAGTATGATTCGCTGACTGTACTTGGAGCTGTGGATACAAGAGAGGAGATAGGTACAGAATCTGACCCTAAGATCAATACACCAACAAACCAATCCAAATGGATTGGACTTTTATGCCACATTAATAATTGTAATAGACGCTGAAATATAAATGAACAAAACATTGACTCAAGCTGAAACAGATATCTCACACAGACACACAGACACACAGACACACAGACACACACACACACACACACACACACACATTTCGAGTAGGGTAATGTTTGTGTCCTTGTGTAAGCGGTGCTGTGTGGTAGGAATGTGCCTCCCCCCATCCTGAGCTATGACAACGTGATGGTCCTCCAGTTCACCTCTGATAGCACGGTCACCTACCGAGGCTTCCACGCCACCGTGTCATTCATCAGTAAGATCGGTGAGTGTGACACCGACACACACAAACCACACATTCATATTACTCTCCATAAGAAGCCCACAGATCAGGTTATCATTAAACTTTCCATAATAGATCATGCGTTTACAATATTTTACATTTCATAACTGTTGCATGATAAGATAAATGCTTCAATATTTTATATTAATTTGGCTGTTATGTTTTGGCTGTTCTGTCATGCTAGCTGATCACAGACAATCTGACTCTTTACTCAGACCTGCTGGACGGGGAGTCAGAGGAGGACACTGTTCACTACCGCCACTCACTGCCAGGTTGGTTATGGGTTGTCCTGAGACCAAAAATTCTAAATCAAATAGCTAAATGATCCTTGGTATTACCAATAATTACCAGAAAATAGCTGTCCTCCGGCTAAACCATGGTGCTACCCCAGAGAGTGGTGTTGAGGCTACTGTAGACCTTCATTGTTTCACTATTTCTATTTTTATGAAATTTGCTGAGTAGGATGTCCTCCCCTTCCTCCTCTGAGGAGCCTCAACTGACTTTAAGTAACCCATTAGTCCATTTGGAGTAATACATTTACATTTTAGTCATTTAGCAGACGCTCTTATCCAGAGCGACTTACAGTTAGTGAGTGCATACATTTTTCATACTGGGTTGTCCTGAACAATGGGTGTTCATGCATTGTCTAAGAAGTACCTGTAACTACACTCCCCTCCGTATTTATTTGGACAGTGAAGCTAAAATGTTTAATTTGACTCTCTACTTCAGCATGAATGGTACAGTTGAAGTCGGAAGTTTACATACACTTAGGTTGGAGTCATTAAAACTTTTTCAACCACTCCACACATTTCTTGTTAACAAACTATAGTTTTGGCAAGTCGGTTAGGACATCTACTTCGAGCATGACACAAGTAATTTATCCAACAATTGTTTACAGACAGATTATTTCACTTATAATTCACTGTATCACAATTCCAGTGGGTCAGAAGTTTACATACACTAAATTGACTGTGCCTTTAAACAGCTTGGAAAATTCCAGAAAATGATGTCATGGCTTTAGAATCTTCTGATAGGCTAATTGACATAATTTGAGTCAATTGGAGGTGTACCTGTGGATGTATTTCAAGGCCTACCTTCAAACTCAGTGCCTCTTTGCTTGACATCATGGGAAAATCAAAAGAAATCAGCCAAGACCTCAGAAAAAAATGTGTAGACCTCCACAAGTCTGGTTCATCCTTGGTAGCAATTTCCAAACGCCTGAAGGTACCACGCTCATCTGTACAAACAATAGTACGCAAGTATAAACACCATGGGACGGCGCAGCCATCATACCGCTCAGGAAGGAGACGCGTTCTGTCTCCTAGAGATGAACGTACTTTGGTGCGAAAAGTGCAACTCAATCCCAGGACAACAGCAAAGGACCTTGTGAAGACGCTGGAGGAAACAGGTACAAAAGTATCTATATCCACAGTAAAATGGGTCCTATATCGACATAACCTGAAAGGCTGCTCAGCAAGGAAGAAGCCACTGCTCCAAAACCGCCATAAATAAGCCAGACTACGGTTTGCAGCTGCAAATGGGGACCAAGATCGTACTTTTTGGAGAAATGTCCTCTGGTCTGATGAAACAAAAATAGAACTGTTTGGCCATAATGACCATCGTTATGTTTGGAGGAAAAAAGGGGGATGCTTGCAAGCCGAAGAACACCATCCCAACCGTGAAGCACGGGGGTGGCAGCATCATGCTGTGGGGGTGCTTTGCTGCAGGAGGGCCTGGTGCACTTCACAAAATAGATGGCATCATGAGGAAGGAAAATTATGTGGATATATTGAAGCAACATCTCAAGACATCAGTCAGGAAGTTAAAGCTTGGTCGCAAATGGGTCTTCCAAATGGACAATGACCTCAAGCATACTTCCAAAGTTGTGGCAAAATGGCTTAAGGACAACAAAGTCAAGGTATTGGAGTGGCCATCACAAAGCCCTGACCTCAATCCTATAGAACATTTGTGGGCAGAACTGAAAAAGCGTGTGCGAGCAAGGAGGCCTACAAACCTGACTCAGTTACACAAGCTCTGTCAGGAGGAATGGGCCAAAATTCACCCAACTTATTGTGGGAAGCTTGTGGAAGGCTACCTGAAACGTTTGAACCAACTTAAACAATTTAAAGGCAATGCTACCAAATACTAATTGAGTGTATGTAAACTTCTGACCCACTGGGAATGTGATGAAATAAATAAAAGCTGAAATAAATCATTCTCTCTACTATTATTCTGACATTTCACATTCGTAAAATAAAGTGGTGATCCTAACTGACCTAAAACAGGGAATTTTTACAAGGATTAAATGTCAGGAATTGTGAAAACTGAGTTTAAATTTATTTGGCTAAGGTGTATGTAAACTTCCGACTTCAACTGTAAATAATGTATTTATTATAGATTGTTTGTGTCATTTTGGAGTAACATTTATTGTTAATAAGAAGATAAAATCTTTCTGAACACTTCTACATGAATGTGGATGCAACCATGATTACAGATAATCGTGAATGTGTGAATCTGTGAATCTGTGAATAATGATGCGTGAGAAAGTTAGAGGCTAACCCCCCCTGTTATTGGTAATGGTGAGAGTATGTTTTGGGGGTATGATCTTTGTGCCTCATCATTATTAACGATTATTCATGAATCATTCATACATTATTTACCATTAATTTCTATTGGACACAACATAATCCGAAAAACACAACCAAAACAAACTGCAAATGCATTCAACAATTTGGTAGCGTCACACGCTTGATGTAATCGTTGTGTGCTAGGAATATGGGACCAAATACTGAACTTGACTACTTTGACTTCTAATACACTATAAGTGAATTTGCCCAAATACTTATGACATCTTTAAAAGGGGGGACATCTGTAGATAGAGTACATAAAGTGCTTTCATTTCTAAACGGTAAAACAGATATGAATGAAAATACCCTCAAATAAAAGGGGAAATCTTCTGTACTGTCGCCTCATATAAACAATTTGATCTCAAACCCAAAATGCTGGAGTAGAGAGCCAAATTAAACGTTTTAGCTTCACTGTCCAAATAAATATGGAGGGGAGTGTAACTGTGTGTATGACCTCTCAGACTCGTGTGGAATGCCTCATGTCCGTGCTGCCTCGACCCCCAGTGAGTCTCTGGAAGGAGAGGGGGCGTCGCGACACGCCTGGCCCTGGGACGTGCGCCTCAGTGTGAACACTAAGAACATCTGCTATGGGGCAATCATCCAGCCTGCCTGGGTCCTCACTGCTGCACACTGCCTTCTAGGCCTGTGAGTGTCACACCAACACGCGCTCACATATCCTATACTTTTTCATAGATGAATAATGTTAATAAAAATAATAATAACAGTGCAGATACACACTCATATCCTATAGTATTAAATATTAATTTAGTGAAAAATAAATGGTGTATTTGAACAGTTTGAAAACAATTTGAAAACTCCTGTGCTCTACTTTTTCATAGATGAAGATGTTATTCATAAAAACAGATCATAATAACACCAGCCTCTATTTTTATGTATTTATTATTTTCAAACTAACACAGGGAGGTGCAGTCATTAAGGTCACTATCAGTGGAGACGGGAGGCCCAAAGAACCAGGTAGGATGAAGCATCCTCAGTCAGTCTACCTATCTCTCACTCAGTGTGTCATTGTTCTCTCTCTCTCTCTCTCTCCTATATGTCTCTGTGTTATTGTCTATATGGGTCCTATAGAGGGGTGGTGTGAGGAGGCTAGTGCTGCATCCTCAGTATGACCCCTCCTCCCAGGACTATGATGTGGCCCTGCTACAGCTGGACTCCCCGCTGCTCATCACTGAGCATGCCCAGTCCGTCTGTCTGCCCTGCTCGGGACAGGAGGTCCCACCCTCCCAGGTCTGCATGCTCTCATCGTGGGAGGGTCAGACAGGTATGTACAGTATCATGCCATACTGTGTTTGACCAACAACAAGACACCATGATGACAAAGCAAAAAGATCACTGTATCACGATGAGTGTCATTGTAAAAAGTTTGTTTATGTGGACACAGGGGTTATGTCTATGTACAAACATGACATTACCTCATTCAAAGTGTGTGTGTGTGTGTCAGTCTTTTAGTGATTGTGCGTGTTTGTGTGTATGGGTGGACGTAGCATGTGTGTTAACAGTATGTGTTTGTAGTTTTCTGAGTGTAGCCTAACACAGAGACTGTGGTGTGTGCTGACTGTTAGGTGGACCATGGAACAGCACTGTTGAGCCGCTAGAGGTGCCACTTTTGAGTCATGCTGACTGTGAGCGTTATAACACTGGTCGACTGACCCCTAGAATGCTGTGTGCTGGGTCACCACAGCATCATGGACAGGACACCTGCACGGTGAGGAACACACAGGGCTCATAGCAACACTGTAAACACTGGAACACATCGGGGATGGATGGGTGGTGGCTATTAAAGTATAACAACAGTGGACCCAACTTTAGCAAAGGATTTGTGTTATCATACATCCCCCTCTGGTGGCAATGTTTGGAACTATGGTTTATAACCATATCAGAGAGCACATTAGGAGGGCCTTTTCTTAAACTTTGAAACACTCAGTACCAGTCCAAGACGATAGAGTATAGTCACCCAAACTATGTAACTGTATATGATACAGTAGATGATAAAATATAATCTCATTGCGAGGGGTTTCATTTGTCAGAAACATTCAGTAAAATATCAAACTGTCTTCCTTCAGGGTCCAGGTGATTCTGGGGGAGCCCTGGTGTGTCAAACAGAGGACTCTGGTTACTTTGTCCTGGGAGTGAGCAGCCGAAGGGAAGGCTGTGGGAAGTTCCAGAGGCCAGGAGTCTACACCTCAGTTCCCATGCTAAGAGACTGGATCCAGGAACAACTCCACGGTGAGGGAGATTTGTCATGTGGATCTGTGGTGCTACTTTGCAAACTCTACTGTCTTGAAAGCAGTTCTTCATGCCTTTACATCATCTGGCTAATGGCACTCAAACAGTTCTGCCTTATATTGTCCTGAGATGGGAAACACTCAAAAACACAACAATATCTGTGGGGTTAACTCAAGTACTGTGTGAATCATTAATTTATTTTCACATTCCTACAATTTGCTCAAGAGTAACATATTATGTATTTTCTTAAGTGTGTTTCTCTGTGTCTCAGGCTTTCTCTCCACAGAAGATTCAGCTGACTCCTCTAGGACCCTGCCAGGAGCAGCAGGAGGAGATTATGATGATAATAACTATGGAGCTGAGTCATCTGGAGAATCCTGTTAGCCTTGAGCCACCTAGCCTGAGGCTGGTGGACCATGTGGTTCTCTAGCAGAGCCAAGCTGCTTTTTGTTGCTTCATATACCACTCAGAAATGAAGCAGACATGATTTGAAAAAGGGAACATCCAATTAGCACGAATTCCATGGATTTGTGGGAAGGGCTATGGAACAATTGTATTGTCATACTGTCTGTCACACACACACACAAACTTTTTATTTGTAAACCAGTGCTCAACCCCTGAGTGATCTGACACTGGAGTGATAATATTAAATTAATAGCGTCATCAACTTGCCTGGAGATATTTTAATTGATTACACAGCGCGCACACACACACACAAACATTTTCTTTGTAAACCAGTGCTCAACCCCTGAGTGATCTGACACTGGAGTGATTTTGGACCATTCACCTCCTCATCTGGATCACTCAGCTGTGCTTCGTCATGGCTCTGTCATAGTGAGTTCCTCTCTCCTATTGGTCCGTCAGCCCTCCATTAACTCACCTTCCTCTAGGCAGCCTTGGTGCAAAGGTCTGACTCCAGGGCCTGGCTCTGTATGTTTGACACCCCTGTAACTAAACCATCTTTGGTTACAGCTCAACAGGAGTTGTTTTCAAGGATACAATGCTGAAGTCGACTGAAAGAAAACCTCCGCTGTCACCTAGGGGTGGCAGGTTGCCTAGTGGTTAAGAGCATTGGTCCAGTACCTGAATGGTCATTGGTTTGAATCCCAGAGACAACTAGGTGAAAAATCTGTCAATGTGCCCTTAACCCTAGTTTCTCTGGATAAGTGTGTCTGCTAAATTATGTAAATGTATGGTGGAAGTATGCTTTGTCATTCAAAATAGAGGTAACTTCCTGACACCAATAGTCAGATAAGTGGAAAGATGGCATGGAGAATATTACCTGATGAGACCAGTTCTATGCAATTCAGCTTTTGAGGGTTGTTTACCATATCACACACAGACAGATGGTACAATATCTCATTCAGAACAGACAGAAAGGACAAACACATTCAAACAAATGAAACCTGAGGGGTATACTACAAATCAACATCAAGGAGTTAGCCAGCTAACTTGCCTAAATATTCTGAAATAACTTTTTATATTTTGTAGAAAGATAAGCTTGAAATGGGCATGGTCTAATTGATTTAATATCTATGTTTAGCTTTTTTTTAACCATAAAATCAATAGATATTTCTGGTTACTTATTGTTACGAACCCCGTGGCTTTAAATGTCTAGGGTGGATGGACATGAGACCCGTAACATAATTCATGCAAATTAGGATGATGACATGGAACAGTGAGAACGAAAAACTACACGACAACCATAAACTACCGTCAAACATAAAATGTTTATTTGTGAACACACGGTAAAGGTTTGGGAAAAAGGGCTGAGCAGGACCCAAGAAATGAAACAGTGTAAAAAAAAACTAAACTGATCTTGCCTGCCTCAAGAACCGCTAAGCTACTGCTAATCATACAAAAGTACAGGGGGTGGTCCGCTCAGGTCTAACTAGTGTTTATAGACAGTTCTTTCTACGGGTAATGTATGCCCAAGGGCAGCTTGCTTAACTTCCCCTTTTCCCAGAAACACACAAAGTTACCAAACAGAGTAACCAGCAAATTAGTGAGTACTCTAAACACAGGACATCACAGTATCCATACTCACATACAGAAATTAGTCTCTAACAAAATTACCAAACAGAGTAACCAGCAACTTAGTGAGTAAACAAAAAACAGGACTCCACAGTATCCATACTCACATACAGAAATAGTCTCTCTCTCTAACAACAAACACAACTGACCGGCTTTTATACAATGGGATGTGTGATTGAAAAACCAGCAACAGGTGGTGCAATGCAGAGGAATGTTCACTGATTGGTCCACCTTAGCAATCAGCAGACACCTCAACGACCACCAATCAGGAACATACAGGACACCTGTTATTAGGGCAGAAGGAGAGGAAACACAAAAAGACACAGGATACCTGTATCCGTAACACTTATCAAAGTTAGCTGGCTAACTAGTGGATTATACTTTGCAGTATACCCCAGACATAAAGTGCATATGCCTTACATCCAGGATCATGTAGATACCATGTCTAGTTATTACTTTATTACTAAAGGTTACAGGAAGTGTTGATTGCTGAAAGTACACAAACTCTATCAATGTACCAAAAACACATGGAAGTACTGGACTGGATACAGCTGGCATGCATGTCCTCAGGAAGAAATGAAAACTTTAGTCTTCTCCAGATAATGTGGCACCACCTGCTGGTAGGAACAAGGTCACTGTCTGTTGGAATCACTGAAATCAACCTGCAGAGGGCTAGCTTTATGGGGACAAAAGGCATCTTCTAAAACTATAAACAAAGATGAAGAAATCTATTCAGAGCCTGTGCCTGTTCAACAGTTCTCTGACCAATGCTCCTACTTATGAAATAACATCCAAAACCTACATTTTTTCATAAATACACTGAACAAAAAAATAAACGCAACATGTAAAGTGTGTTACATGTTTCATGAGCTGAAATAAAATATCCCAGAAATGTTCCATATGTACAAAAAGCTTATTTCTCTCAAATGTTGTGCACAAATGTATTTACATCCCTGTTAATGAGCATTTCTCCCTTGCCAAGATAATCCATACACTTGACAGGTGTGGCATATCAAGAAGCTGATTAAACAGCTTGATCATTACACAGGTGCACCTTGTGCTGGGGACAATAAAAGGCCACTAAAATGTGCAGTTTTGTCACACAACACAATGCCACAGATATCTCAAGTTTTGAGGGAGCTAGCAATTGGCATGATGACAGCAGGAATGTCCACCAGAGCTGTTGCCAGATAATTGAATGTTCATTTCTCTACCATATGCCGCCTCCAACGTTGTTTTAGAGATTTTGGCAGTACATCTGACCGGCCTCACAACCGCAGACAACGTGTAACCACGCCAGCCCAGGACCTCCACATCTGGCTTCTTCACCTGCGGGATTGTCAGAGACTAGCCACCCGGACAGCTGATGAAACTGTGGGTTTGCACAACTGAAGAATATCTGCACAAACTGTCAGAAACTGTCTCAGGGATGCTCATCTGCATGCTTGTTGTCCTCACCAGGGTCTTGACCTGATTGCAGTTCGGCGTCGTAATCGACTTCAGTGGGCAAATGCTCACCTTCAATGGCCACTGGCACACTGGAGAAGTGTGCTCTTCATGGATGAATCCCGGTTTCAACTGTACCGGGCAGATGGAAGATGTGTATGGCGTCGTGTGGGGAAGCAATTTGCTGGTGTCAATGTTGTGAACAGAGTTCCCCGTTATGGCATGGGCAAGAATAATTTACGGACAATGAACACGAATGCATTTTATTGATGCCAATTTGAATGCACAGAGATACCGTGACGTGCCATTCATCCGCCGCCATCACCTCATGTTTCAGCATGATAATGCACGACCCCAATGTCGAAAGGATCTGTACACAATTCCTGGAAGCTGAAAATACCCAGTTCTTCCATGGCCTGCATACTCACCCATTGAGCAAGTTTGGGATGCTCTGGATCGACGTGTACGACAGCGTGTTCCAGTTCCCGCCAATATCCAGCAACTTCACACAGCCATTGAAGAGGAGTGGGACAACATTCCACAGGCTACAATCAACAGCCTGATCAACTCTATGCGAAGGAGATGTGTCGCGCTGCATGAGGAAAATGGTGATCACACCAGATACTGACTGGTTTTCTGATCCAGGCCCCTACCGTTTTTTAAAGGTATCTGTGACCAACAGATGCATATCTGTCATGCCCAGTCATGTGAAATCCATAGATTAGGGCCTAATTTATTTATTTCAATTGACTGATTTCCCCTTTAAATATTACATTTATCCTTTTTTGAAATGTAACTCTTGCAGGAAAACCACATCTGCTGATAATCTCTTTTAAATGTTCAAGAACCTAATGCTTTTTCTTGCCATTGGGGAGTCTGTGTACATTCCATCTAATAAGTTGGATTTTGTTGGCCTTTACTTGTATAGAATCAAAGTTAACCTTGTCTGTTCCGTCCATCATTGAAGAACCAGACAAAACATTTTAGCAGACATATCATAGGGCGGTGGACATCCCATGGATATGGGAGAGTCATAATATGAATATATAGTTATTGTATACATTACATATATAGAATGTTTGAACATGTAGGAACATGTAGGCTGACCAAACATTTAACAGTCAACACACAAAAAACATAAAGCAAAGTACTTTGTTGTACTTTGAGGCCCTGTGCCTTTTTAGGTCTTTTACGCTCCAAATCCTCTCCTAATGTACCAACAGTCTGTGGATTATGTCATTATAAATACATTGGAGAAAGACTGCCACTTAAGTACCGTGGTCAGTTTGTAATACCTTGTGAATTAAATTAAAGTATTTGGCTAGTGGGTCTGTACTTGGGGAGAGTGGGTTCACCAAAAGACCGAAGTGATATGAGTGGAGGCACCACACATACTTCAGGGAAGTGTCTGACGCCCTCCCAGCCACCCTGTCGCAATCCCTCGGATAGAGCCCATCTCCACTCTCACCGATAAGCACCATTGGATCTTATCTATAATGACAAACAAGGAATAACAATGATTTGACATCCTCTCCTAATCTGGCCAGAACTCTTATTCATTTTACAGCAGGTTTGCAAGTCACAAATATAAATACAATTATTATAAATAAATCCTTCCTTCCCTTCCTTCCTTCCTTTTCCCCATGTGTTTCTACTTGTTTTAGAGTTTATGGTCTTACACCTGCAAGGAAATCATTCTGATAATTCTGATTCTTCTGACATTATAAGCTATAGGATTGTCACAAATTTAGGGCTTGATTCAATACGTATTGCGGATGTTCAGCGCTATAGCGAGATTGAAATTTAAAGGTAATTTCCGATTGAAATGACATATGCAGCGTTTACGTGAATAATAATAAAAGCATGGATGAGTCTCTCTGTATCAGCCTGAGAGAGAAACG